GGCGCCCCACTTTTTTTTTTTTTTTATATTTATCTTTGAGAGAGCGCAAGCAGGGGAGGGGCAGAGAGAGGGGGACAGAGGATCTGAAGCGGGCTCTGCGCGGACAGGCTGACAGCAGCGAGCCCGATGTGGGGCTCGAACTCACGAGCTGCGAGATCATGACCCGAGCTGAAGTCGGATGCTCAACCAAGTGAGCCACCCGGGTGCCCCATAATTTGCAGTGTTCCCACTATAAATGGGGTTGGCCAGTGTTTTCATATGGTAAAGACAGGTGCGTTTCCAGGTGCTCTCGAGAATCCCCAATGCTCCTGAGGGGTTTAAACCCTAGGGCCCTCCTGATGCTGGGCACCCTGAGACTCTGAGCCCCGAGGCAGCATCTGCCGGAGTCCTCCTCTGGGTTAGGTCTCTACCTGCCTATTCATGAGTACTTCCCTTCACCCATTCCTTCCCTCTCCCCGTTCAGCTTTAACAATCTGGGCATCCAGTGTGTGAGGAAGAAGGAGATTGAAGCCGCCATTGAGCGGAAGATTCAGCTGGGCATCGACCCCTACAACGGTGAGTCCCTGAAACTAGTCAGATTGTCTTGTCCTCCTGAACGCCTTGCCCTCTCTGCCACCCGGTCCCCTTACCTCACCTTCTCCGGTATCCACTATCTCCCCAGCCCCCAGTCCCTACCCTCTCTACCATATTCCCACCAGAGTCTTCCACCCCCCACCCTCAGCCTTCCCGTATCTCTCCTACAGCTGGGTCCCTGAAGAACCATCAAGAGGTGGACATGAATGTCGTGAGGATTTGCTTCCAGGCCTCATATAGGGACCAGCAGGGACAGATGCGCCGGATGGACCCTGTGCTCTCTGAGCCCGTCTATGACAAGAGTGAGTCTGGGGTGTGCGTATTAGGATTGTTGTTGGCCACAGATACTGGAAAGCCCCACATTCGATGGCTTGAACAAACAAGCCAAGGGTGTTCTTTATTTTTATTCGTCTCGTTATTAAGTCTGTTGGTGCTGATCCGGCTGCTCAGCAACATTAGGGCCCTGGCTCAGCTCTGTGATGCCCTTGGTCATGAGCTGGCTGCCACGCCTCCAGATATCATGTCTGCGTTCAAGGCACGATGGGCAGGGTCACCCTGTAAGGTGTGCAGGCTGTACACTGCCCAATTGCAGTGGTCAGCGTTTGTTAGGTAGCCTATGGAAACGAGGGCTCTCGGTATTGTAGAGTGCACAACCTGAACCACTGTACTAGGCCGTTCTAGGAAAGAGGCAGCACGAGTAATAATACTTTTTTCTTTTATACAGAAAACGGTAGATTCCCCAGAATCCCCCTGGTAGACTTCTGTTTATGTATCATTGGCCGTGATTCGGTCTCATCGCTGCCCCTGGTTGCAAGGGAGTCTGGGAGAGCGAGTATTTAGGTTTTCCACCGTCTCCAGAGGGATATAGGTATGGAAGAGGAGAATGGGAATGGCCGTTAGGTTTTAGCATCAAAACGAGGAGGGATTTTTTTTTTTCCTTTAAGTTTATTTATTTTGAGACAGAGAGAGGGAGGGGCAGAGAGAGAATCCCGAACAGGCTCCATGCCGTCAGTGCAAAGCCCGGTTCGGGACTCGATTTCACAAACCGTGAGTTCGCAACCTGAGCCCAAAACCAAGAGTCGGCCGCGTAAGTGACTGATCCACCCGGGTGCCCCCAAATGGGAGGGAAATTGATTCGGTCAAGGCTTTTGTGGGTGCAAGTGATAGGATTCCAACTCAAGGGGGCTGAAGAATCTGCTTGTTCCATTAATTAACAAGGTCCAGCACCTAAAGTGCTTCAGGTCTGGCTGAATCCAGGTGCTCAGCAGTACCATTAGGGATCTCTTTCCAACTCTAAGTTCTACTTCCTCCAATTTAGAGTCATTTTTGGCAGGGTCCTCCCACGGTGGGAGCAAAATGACTGGATGCAGCCCTAGCCTTGTATCCTACCAGCTTGGAACCGCTCCCCTGTGCCCAAAGAGAGCTTCTCTTACCCAAGGTTTTTGGTTGGATTCTCGGGGCTTGCTCTCATTGGCCTGGCTTTGGTCATGTGTTCCTCTCTGACCAATCAGCTGTGGCCCGAGGGAGGCGGTGCTTTCATTGGCCAGGTTTGGGGCATGTGATCACTGCTGAGCTAGGGAGTGGCTTCAGCCCCCCAAGACAGGTGCACGCTGGACTGAGATGGGGGTGGGGGCTGTTATCTTCAAGAAAAATTGAGGGGCTGTTAACAGAAAGAGGGCCAGGACTGCTGCTAGACAGGCAAGACGAGGGTGTCCACTACAGATTTCAGACCATGAATCCTCCTCTCACAATGGTCTCTGACCCCTGACCTGGCCGACTCTCCTCTGAGGTCTGACAGCCTCCCTTTCGGCTGGACACTCGCTGGGCCTCAGCCTGGAGGACTCGCGACTCTCCATCGACCCTTCCGTCTGAGCATCTTCTTCTTCTCCCTGGACCACGGGTTCCAGGAGGATCAGGCCAGCTGGCTTCTCCGTTTCCATCTTGGCCTGGCCCGGGGTGGGCACCCACGGGGTACCTGCTAAGGGTTCGATGGCCGAATCCTCATCTTTGCTTCCATCCCTCTTCCCCTCGCTCTGTCCCAGAGTCCACAAACACGTCAGAGCTGCGGATCTGCCGAATTAACAAGGAGAGCGGGCCGTGCACGGGGGGCGAGGAGCTCTATCTGCTGTGCGACAAGGTGCAGAAAGGTGAGGGACCTGGGACAGCGCCCCGGGGCGGCGTGGGGTCTGCTGGCTTTGCTGGGGTAGCCAGGGAGCTGGGAGGGTGATTGGGTGAGGAGGAGCTGGCCGACTGGGGCGGCGGAGTCGAAGGATCCAGAACTCTGGTTGTGGAGTCCGAGTGAAACAGCTGACTGGTCCGTTCGCTCACGGAGCTGCTTACTCGCTCATTCATGCGCAAAGATGGAGAGCCTTATGTGCTGGCTCAGGCCAGGCAGTGCCAGCCCCCAGGAGCTGCGGTGGGGACGGGGGGGACTCTGGTATTAACATCCTGGAGTTGCATAAATAAATGCTTTATGACGGCTGTGCTAGGGCTACAGGAGGAGGAAAATGGAGAGGGGGAGAAATATCTCCCCCACTTCATTCGTGTCTGTTCAAGTGTCCCTTTTTCAAAGAGAGGGTTTCATAAAAAACAGGTGCCCGCCGCATTGCCTGGCTGGGGAGAGCTTTCCCTCTTACCATATATGTCTTTTCTGTATCCTTTGCGTTTTCTGTCATGTGACTCTATTATACATCGCATCACCCCCAACAGTAATAAAGAGCTAACGTTGGGGCGCCTGGGTGGCTCAGTCGGTTGAGCGTGCGACTTCAGCTCAGGTCATGATCTTGCAGTCTGTGAGTTCGAGCCCCGTGTCAGGCTCTGGGCTGATGGCTCAGAGCCTGGAGCCTGTTTCCGATTCTGTGTCTCCCTCTCTCTCTGCCCCTCCCCCGTTCATGCTCTGTCTCTCTCTGTCTCAAAAATAAATAAACGTTTAAAAAAAATTAAAAAAAAAAAGAGCTAACGTTTATCTTGCCCTTTCTATATGCCAAGCTCTCTTACAAGCACTTTGGTTTTTGTTTTAGATTTTTCTTTTTAATGTTTATTTATTTTTGAGAGGAAGACAGAGGGCAAGCCGGGGAGGTGCAGAGAAAGGGAGGAGACACAGAATCTGAAGCAGGCTCCAGGCTCGGAGCTGTCAGCACAGAGCCCAACGTGGGGCTCGAACCCACGAACTTATGAGATCATAACCTGAGCTGAAGTCGGATGTTTAACTGACTGAGCCACCCAGGCACCCGTCTTACAAGCATTTTGTATGCATCACTCATTAGATCATCTAATTGCCTAACAGTTCTAGGAGGTAGATCCAATCATTATCTCTCTTTTATAGACAGGAAACTAAGGCACAGAAAGGTTAAGTAACTTGCACAAGGTCACACAGCTAGGCGGGTAGAGACTGGATTTGAATGCAGGTGGTCTGTGCTCCTAATCATTGTTCTGGGAGGAAACAGAAAAAAGATAGAGAAAGAGAGTTGAAAAAAAATTCAGGAAGATGGTGAAAAAGTAGTGTTTGGAGAAAAACAATTCTGAGAAAGGAGATAGGGAAGAATGGCTGGAAGGCTTGTGGGCACAATTTTACTCAGTGGGGTCAGGGAAGACCACTCTTAGGGTATGTTATGGGAGCCATGAGGGATCTGTGTGACTCTCTGGGGAAGAGCGATTCAGCAGAGGAAACAGCAAGTGCAAAGGCCCTGGGGTGGTAGCAGGTCCCAGTGTTGGAGGAACAGCAAGGCCATTGGGGCAGGTGGGGAGCAGAGTGGGAGAGCCTGTCACAGCTTCAGGGATCCTTCTCAATCCTCTCTCAGGCTGTGTGATTACATAGTTAACATCTGTCTCCCCCATTGGGGTGTATAGGGTAGGACCTAGGGCTGTCTTGGTGAGCAGCTGTGTCCCCAGAACTACCCAGTCCAGGGTCAAGCACACATGACGTTCTCAGGAAAAAAAAAATTTTGTACTTTTTTTTGTTTTTTTGCCACAAGTTTCACTCTTTAAAATTAAAAATTGTTTCAATGTTTATTTATTTTCGAGAGAGAGCACGCATGCAGGTGAGGGAGGGGCAGGGAGAGAGGGGACAGAGGATCTCAAGCCGGCTCCATGCTGATAGCGGGGAGCCTAATGTGGGACTCGAACTCACGAACCACGAGATCATGACCTGGGCTGAAGTCAGACACTCAACCAACTGGTCCACCCGGCTGCCCCTTACTCTTTAAAAAAATTTTTTTAAACAGTTTAAATTTTTTTTTTTTTAACGTTTATTTTTGAGACAGAGAGAGACAGAGCATGAACGGGGGAGGGTCAGAGAGAGGGAGACACAGAATCCGAAACGGGCTCCAGGCTCTGAGCCGTCAGCACAGAGCCCGACGCGGGGCTCGAACTCACGGACCGCGAGATCGTGACCTGAGCCGAAGTCGGCTGCCTAACCGACTGAGCCACCCAGGCGCCTCTAAACTGTTTTAAAATATACAATTCAGTGGCACTTAATACAGTTATCATGGGGTGCCACCACCACTATCGAGTTCCAGAACATTTTCGTGGTCTATTATAGTATATAAGCAGTCACTCTGTATTCTTCCCTCCCCTAACCCCTGGCCACCACTAATCAGTTTCTGTTGGTAGATTTCTCTCTTCTGGACATTTCACATAAATGGAATCATAGGATACATGGCCTTTCATGTCTGGCTTCTTTCGCTTAATGTTTGCAGGATTCGTCTATGTGATAGTATGGTGCTTCATTCCTTTTTACGACTGAATACACAACTGCACAGATATATAATTTGTTTATTCATTTATAAGTTGGTGGATATTTGGGTTGGCTATTCTTGTTTTTTAATTTAAAATTTTTTTATTTTGTAAACACTTGAGTTTTTGGGTTGTTGTTGTTGTTGTTGTTGTTTTTGTAAACCTAGATGTCTTACTTTTCTGTCTTTTCTTTTTTTTTTTTTTTTTTAGAGAGAGGGAGCGTGAGAGCATATGCATAAGTGGGGGAGGGGCACAGGGGGAAAGAATTCCAGGCAGGCTCCATGCAGTTTATTGGAGGGGCCAGGTAAGATCCCACAACCCGGGGATGATGACCTGAGCTGAAATCAAAAGTTGGATGCTCAACCGACTGAGCCACCCAGGAGCCCCTGTTTTTTTTTTAACTTAAAAAAAATTTTTTTTAATGTTTATTTATTTTTGAGACAGGGAGAAAGCATGAGCGGGGGGTCAGAGGGACACCTGGGGGAATCTGAGAACAGGCTCCTGAGGCTCTGACTGTCAGCACAGAGCCAGCCAGCGGGGCTGTGAACTCTCCTGTGCAGGAATGTCATTGACCTGGAAGAGGCAGTGGGGCCTGCTTTCCGACTGACCCACTCAGAGCTCCACGCAGGAATTTTTTTTTTTTCAGCGATTTATTTATTTGTGGACAGAGCATGAGCAGGGAGGGGGCAGAAGAAGGGAGAACACAAGTCAGGCTCAGGCTCCAGGCTCCTGAGCCATCAGCCAAACCCTGACAGGCTCCGAACTCACGCGGACCCTTGAGATCGTGAGCACCAGCTGGAAGATGGGACGGCAACAGGCTGCCTGACCAGCCCATATTTTTGCACTTTTTTAAAGAGAGAGAGAGAGAGAAAGCATGAGCAGGGGAGGGGAGGAGAGAGAGAATCCCAAGCGGGCTCTGCAATGCAGAGTCTGGTGTAGGGCTCGATTCCACCACCCTGAGTAGAAATCAAGAGTCAGACACTTAACTGACTGAGCCACCCAGGTTCCTCCCACCTTTTGGTTATTACAAGTGTCACTATGACCAATCGAACATTTATGTATAAGTTTTTGTGCCCAGGAATGGTAGGTTCTTGATTTTTTTTTTAACGTTTATGTATTATTGAGAGACAGAGAGAGACAGCATGAGCATAGGAGGGGCAGAGAGAGGAGGAGACACAGAATCTGAAGCAAGCTCCAGGCTCTGAGCTGTTAGCACAGAGCCTGACGCGGCTCGAACTCCCAAACCTGATCATGACCTGAGCCGAAGTCGGACGCTCAACTGGCTGAGACCCCCAGGCTCCCCCCCCCCAGGAATGGGAGGTTCTTATAGAATTTTGAGTGAATGAGCAAATGGTGATTGGGTGGCTCTCTGTGCTGGGCCCTTGTGCTAGGCAGTGTTGGGACATAGCAGTGACAGAGACAGCCCTGGGTTCTGCTCTCGCAGGGCTCCCAGTTCAGTGGGGGGGGATCAGGAAATAAAGACAAATTCCAAAGGTGAGTTATGCTAAGACGGAAGAAGACAAAGCACCAAGACTGAACAACAAGAAGACCAGACATGGTCTGGGCACCATGGAAGGCTTCCCAGAGGAGGTGATATTTGAGCCAAGATCTGAGGAATGCCAAGGAGATTGTTAGGGGCCTGGGATTGGGGTCCAAGAGCAGGGAAACTGTTCTAGGTGTGTGCAACTAACTAGAGGCAGATGTGAGTCCTGATCCATCGTTCACTCACTGGCCAGTCTTGGGTTGGTGACTTCACCACCTTGAGTCTCCATTTCCTCATCCCTAAAATGAGCTGGTGTTGGGATGTTACGGGATCTCAACTACCCAAGAACTACACTACAAAGAGTTAGCGTTAATGAGAATTTCTGAGTGCCAGGCCTGAAGCTAGTACATTGTATAATGCTAATAAAAGTAATCATACTCGGGGCCCCTGGGGGGCTCAGTCGGTCACGCGTCCGACTCCGGCTCAGGTCATGATCTTGAGTTTCATGAGTTGGGGCTCTGTGCTGACAGCCCAGAGGCTGGAGCCTGCTTCGGATTGTGTCTCCCTCTCTCTCTGCCCCCTCCCTGCTCGTGCTCTCTCTCTCTCTCTCTCTCTCCCTCTCTCAAAAATAAATAAACATTAAAAAAAAATTAAAGTGGCTGTGTAGGAGAGTTGGCACAGTAGATCTGAGACTATTATCCTTTGAAAGGCCTACTTCAAGGGCTGACCCTTGGCTGGCTTTTGGAATCCTGGGTGTCGAGAGGGCTCCCACCATTCCCTGACTGATGGGAGTGGCTCACTGTGTTTAAACTGTTTGCATGGACGATGTGGTTTGTGCTGAACACCTGCTTTGCTTCTGGGAGTCTGGAATTCTGGTATGTGCCAGGCAGACAGTGCCTATGGAACCAACCCCCAATAAAAACCCCCGGGGTGCCAGGGTCTCCAGCGAGCTTCCCTGAGAGACCGCATTTCACACGTGTTGTCACAGTTTGTTACGGGGGTGGGGGGGGGGGGTACTCAGCATGTTCTCTGCGACTCCACTGGGAGAGGACTCTTGGAAGCTTGTGACTGGTTTCCTCTGGACTTTACTCCAGGCAAAATCTTTTCCCTTTACTGAGGACGCTCATTACCTTCTTGCTGTAATAAATCTCAGCCGTGACTTTGAGTATATGCTGAGTCCTGTGGGTCCCCTTAGTGAATCACTGAATCTGACAATGGTCTGGGGCACTTCTGACACCGTGGGGATATTAATTCTACCTGCCGCTCAGGTTGCTGAAAGGATTAAATGAGATAATATACATGAAAAATATTTAAGATACTTACTGACTAGCACACGAGTAGGTGTTCAACAGGTTAGCTGCCACGATGATTAGTTTTATTCTTAAGACTATCAATATCGGGGGCACCTGGCTGGTTCGGTTGGTAGAGCGTGTGACTCTCGATCTTGGGGTCGTAAGTTCAAGCCCCACATGGGGCGTGGAACTCATTTAAAAAAAAAAATCAGCTGGAATTGCAAAAACTTAAAAAAATACTTGAAAAACATCAACATTGATTTGGGGGGAGGCTGAACGTGTTGGGGGCCCAGTGGGCCAGTGTCCTGGCTCAGCTGATGTCCCCACTTTCCCGCCAGAGGATATATCGGTGGTGTTCAGCAGGGCCTCCTGGGAAGGCCGGGCAGACTTCTCCCAGGCCGATGTGCACCGCCAGATCGCCATTGTGTTCAAGACACCGCCCTATGAGGACCTGGAAATCGTTGAGCCTGTGACCGTGAACGTCTTCCTGCAGCGGCTCACCGACGGGGTCTGCAGTGAGCCTCTGCCCTTCACGTACCTGCCTCGGGACCATGGTAACCACAGAAATCCAGGGTGACCCACTGCCCAGAGACCAGGTCTTTGGCCTAGAGGGGCCAGGGGAAGAGGCAGAAGTAAAATGCAGGTTCATGACTGCACAGACTGGGGTCCACTACTTAACTGGTTTTGTGAACTTGGCCTCTCTCAACCTCAGCCTCCTATGTAAAATGGAAATAATGCTACCTGTCTGATGGCATTTGGGGAGTATTTATTTGTCCCCTCAGCACGTTGGCTCATGCCTGGCCCTGTACTGGCTGGTGCTGGGGACACAGCAGTGAGCAAGATAGCCTCAGCTTTGCCCTTGTAAGTGTCATAGTCCTTTAGTGGGGATGGAATTGCTCGGGGGACTCAGGTCACTCCGAGGGGGCATCTGACCCAAGCTTGGGGATCAGGGAAGACTTCCTGGAGAAAGGGATGGCTGAGGACGTGAGGATGTCTAAGCAATTCTTGAGGGAAGCGGTGGGAGGTGGGAAATAGTGTCAAGCAGCTGGAGTCGCAAGTGCAAAGGTCCTGAGGCAGGATTGTGCCTGGCATGTTCCAGGAACGACAAAGAGGCCAGTGTGGCTAGAAGTGGATTTGGGTTTTTCATTCTGATTAAGATGTGGACATCTATTTGCATTAGTTGGCCAAAAACCAGAGCAAGTCAAGGACTTCCTAAACGGTCTCTGTAATTAACACTTAATTATAATTATTGATGGATTCCCTTGCCCCTGGTGTCTCCTGAACAGACAGCTACGGAGTGGACAAGAAGCGGAAACGGGGGATGCCGGACGTCCTTGGGGAGCTGAACAGCTCCGGTGTGTCCCTTATGCCCCTTTCCACACCCATCTCCAGGTTCCTGGGAGGGGATGGCTAAGTCCTAGGCTGGGGAGGCGGGGCTGTGAGGGTCCAGGGCTCCTCATCTCCACCTTCCCTTAGACCCCCATGGCATCGAGAGCAAACGGCGGAGGAAAAAGCCGGCCTTCCTGGATCACTTCCTGCCCAACCACGGCTCAGGTGGGTCACGGCACGGGTGGGTCCCTGCCCTCTGAAGCAGGGTGAGGGTGCTTCTGGCCTCTTCAGCGCCCCCCCC